TAACTACCTTTGTCAGAATTTTCTTCTCTATTCCACAAGTGAACTTTAAGATAATTTTCTTAAAGTAGGCAAAAAGTAATATTTTTCTTTTAAAAAGGGACTCAAAGCAGTAGAGAGTTTGACTGGGATTACTTATAAATTAATTTTAGACACTGTTATTTTCATATTCCACCTTCCTTACCAGGAATAATCAATGGGTACTTTTTTTAAAGTCTTATTTTACATTTCTCAATATGTATTTTCTTCGTGTTGTCATTACATGTCCCGTTAACATTATTTCCAGGCATTCTATACCTGGGCATCTTAGTTGTTATTTTAAACAGGATCTTTTTGTTTGTTTTTGTGTTATGTTACCACTAGTGTATAAAAATGTTACTGATTTTTATACATTTTATATTGTCATATTGGTCTTATTCATTTTAAGTTTATCAGATGGTTCCCTTGTATTTTCTATATATATAGTAATATCAGTTAAGAATACTTTTTCTTGTAAAATTTTTCCATGTAAGAAAGGAGTAACATAGCAAGATTTTGAGAGGGTTCCTGCCATTCCTCCAGGACATGGCCGTTTCCTGGGTCTGGGGTGTTTTGGGCACATGGTATAATTTACACTGAACACCAACCTGACTTCTTGGAGTCTGAAATTTTGGGTTGTGCCAGAAAGAGGCTGCTATGTGACCAAACCCCACAAAACCTTGGGTGCCTAGATGTTAATAAGCATCCCTGATGGACAACAGACCCTTCATAAGTGTGGTCAGTTTGTTGCTGGAGAACCAAGTGCATTGGCGTGACCTGGCTGGAAGTTGTTTTTTTAATCGTCCAGAAGAGTGGAAGGTTCACCTTGCTGGACCAGGTCAGACGTGCGATTTCACTCAGTGCCCTGAATTAGGCAATCACCAAGGCAGGCTGAGGAGCCTCATGGCCAGGGAGGAGTCTCATGGCCAGGGGAGGAGCCTCATGGCTGAGGGAGGAGCCTCATGGCCAGGGGAGGAGCCTCATGGCTGAGGGAGGAGCCTCATGGCCAGGGAGGAGTCTCATGGCCAGGGGAGGAGCCTCATGGCTGAGGGAGGAGCCTCATGGCCAGGAGAGGAGTCTCATGGCTAGGGGAGGAGCCTCATGGCTGAGGGAGGAGCCTCGTGGCCAGGGGAGGAGCTTCATGGCCACACAGACCTGCCAGCATGGCTTCTGCCATCTGGGAACCCCCAGACCAGCGATCCAGCCTCTGGCAACAGAGTGACGACAAGGGAAGACTGCTCAGCGCTTTTCCAAAGAGACAAGGCTGTTTTACAACGTTAAAATTGCCGAGTACACGACCATTTTATATTATTTTGAGTTGCTATTTCCTACACAAAATTGAAATACATATTAATTTCCATATTGTCTATGACAGTAGGAAAAATAAAGAGCAAAAATATTTTCTCCTATGTTTATTATTTTCATCTTCGGATGGCCTTAGAGAAAATTCCTTCCATGCTGGAGTGAGAACATTGAACAGGGGCAGAGGAAACACTGACCGAGTCCCAGCAGCCTCTTACTGAATATACTTATGTTTTGGGGATATCAGGAGAAAGAACACCTTTTATTCAACACGTTTATATTTATGGACCTTCTACAGTGTGTACCTTAGTTACTAGAGGAAATAAGGAAAAACTAGGTGATTATTTAGTCCTCCAGGCTTTTAAAACCTGGAAAGGGAGATGGAATATATAATATATTCCTAGGAATATATAAGAAGGTTAAATTACAAGTATTTTTTTAAAAAAGCTTTGCCTATTTTAATGGAGATTTCTATCCTGTAGAGAGCTAAAAACATTATTGAATCCCTATTGCAAGCTCACCATGGATATCATCTCTGATGACGATTTTGTGAAATCCCTGCAGTGTGTTTTCTTTCACGTGAAGAAACCGTCAAAGATACAGCACATGGGAGCAAGCATCTCCACCTTCATGGTAGTAGAGGGGACACAGGTCTCATTACCACTGTCAGAACTTCAACTGTGGGGCAGAGTCAGTGACTGCTGCTGATAAAAGATTTTTAAAAGCTAAACTTCCTCCAGAGCATCACAGGTGAGACCCTTCAGGAATCCAGGTGGAAGTGATCTGAGGAGTTGGCTGCATATTTTCTTGTATTTTTAATTTTTGTGTGGAGCAGTCATTCTCAAATTTTGACCAGCATGAGAATCGCCTGGAGGGCATGTTCAAACATAGATTGCCCGCCTCACTCCGGAGATTCTGATTCAGCAGGTCGCATGTGGGCCGGGTAACTGCACGGCTTGTGAGTTCAGGTGATGGTACTGCTGCTCCTCTCGGACCACCGACTGTGTTCTGGCAGAATACTAGAGTCACTGGGAATCACTGGGGCAACACACAAGGACGCTTCTGGCTCAGTACTCGCTGTCAGTCTGCAGATTTACAGACTCCACAGGGAAATGTGAATGCTCCCCTAGAATAACCAGAATAACCTCTCTGTTTGTGAGTCATATTGTTTTGGTTTGGTAATTAGATTTTTTTTACCTTTATTAAACACATGTATTTCCTCTTATGCAAACCATTTATGTTTTGCATGTTTTTTTCAGTTGGAGTCAAAATTCCTACTCATTTTCAGGGATTAATTTAAACATCTTTGCCCCAGTTTGGGCCTCCTGTTGGAGTAGTCCTGTGTGGGTGCACGCACTACCGAGAATTTCTGTGCTGGGTTATGATTGTTTACATTCCTGTCTCCCCCACTGGACAAGGAGCAGAACCAGATCTGAGTCTTATTTATTCTTTCCCTCAGTACCTAACCAATTGGTTGGCACAGGGTCTGTGTCAATTATTTAATAAACTAATGACTAAATCAATGAAGGTCCCTGGCGTTGATTTCAACTTACGTGGATTTCATCAGGATGGTATGTCTACATTTTATGAAAAACAAAGAGGAGCGATGAGTCCTTGAATAAATACTGTTTAAAATCATAAACGTTCTCGGCTCAGCGCCTGTGGCTCAAGTGGCTAAGGTGCCAGCCACATACACCTAAGGTGGCAGGTTCAAATCCAGCTCAGGCCTGCCAAACAACAATGACGGCTGCAACCAAAAAATAGCCAGGCATTGCAGTGGGTGCCTGTGGTCCCAGCTACTTGGGAGGCTGAGGCAGGAGACTTGCTTGAGCCCAGGAGTTGGAGGTTGCTGTGAGCTGTGATGTCATGGCACTCTACCCAGGGGGACAGCTTGAGTCTCTGTCTCAAAAAAAAAGAAAAAAATCATAAACGTTCTCATAGGACAGTATAAAAATATTCACACTTTTAAACTGCTAGGGAATGAAATATTGCCAGCAACTATTCACTCAAAAAAAGAAAACCAAGTCTTTTCCTTTCATTCGAAGAAAAGTAATTTCTTCTGCAAAATATTATAAAATTATGTTTATTGATTCCTCTGGGGCGTTTTCAAATTATCTGGACATTTATCGTGACACACATCCTCAAAAGGAGAGTACAAAAATGATGTACTTCCTCTGACAGTAACACACACATAATTATATAGTAAACATACAAATAAAAGTTAAACTTCAAAGACAATGACATTTTTCATTGTGCCATACTCTCAAATTTCACTTGTATTCCTGACTAGTCTTTTTCACAGTTTTGCTATACAGAAAAAAAATGACATATATATTGGGGATGTCAAAAGTGTACACACATTTTAAGAGATCTTGTTGGAAAGAAAGTTGATCATTCCCCAAAACCGTATGAATTGCAAGTAAAGCGGATGTGGGGAGAGCGTCCAGTGCACCTGACCAGTAACAGCACCTTCAGTTCAATTTTGAAAACGAATACATAGATAACATCTCTTAAAAATGTTACACACTTTTTGGGCCCCTCTGATTCCTCTGTGCACAGTGGAATCTCTGTAAGGTGCCCACCCAAGGGACTGTAACACCCTGGTCAACACACAGAGGTGGTCACCAAAAGGAACTAGGCCCACTGTGCTGAAACGTACAATGTGGGGCTTGTCTGGTCTGTGAACATGAGGTCAACTTAAGGAGGTGGTCAGTATGGGGAAGTGGCAGCTATGGAGGTTCTCCTGCATATATATCCGGGTTTAGACTATCTCTTAGATACCGGAAGAACCAGAGGTGAAAAAAATGAAGTTGCTACTAAGCGGGAAATAAAGTAAATACTTGCAGTCTGGTCTTTGGAAGAGGTCGCTGGCTGAGGGTCTCAAGACAACGCGGATGCAGCAGGCTCTGCCTCTCAGAGGCTCTGGAGAGGCTGCAGCCCTGTCCCGCCCCATCTCCTTTACCAAGGCGGGACCTCACACCTGCACACCGGGTCTCCAGTCCCTTTGCAGCTGTGGCTTTGGTCTTCCCTGGAGGTCACTGTTGCTAACCTTTGTAAACTTCTAAATGTGCAGTTCAAGTGCTCAGTTATACTGCTCCCGAGCTACATGTCACCCCAGGTTTGAAAGTGTAGCTCTCCGGATCCTCAGTAAGGTCTTCCCGTCTCCACCGAGAGCAGAACGTGGCTGTTACAGGTGGTTAAGGGAGATGTCAAGATGCTGTCACCTCCCTCACGCTGAGGCTCCCTACCTTGGGGGGGGGGGCTTTTCACCATGCCCAATGCTGGCAGCATCGCACAGCCTATTGGCACACATGTTTCTCTGTAAGTCTCACATCCTCGTTTTTCAAAGAAGCATAAATCCTTTCACCAAAGAATCCATCAATGTGATAAACCTTTTTATACAATGGAGCTTCCCAAAATCGAAAGAACATTTTGCAGTTCACTCTCAAAATTTGATTCCTACTGACATCCTTGCTTCAGTACAAAAGCAGCTGAACTTCAAAAGATAAACATTACTTTGCCCTTGTCTGGGGCGTGTGCTGTAGTCATCTCTCGCCTTGTGTCCACTTGTAGCTTTGGGGATTCGTAGGGGGCAGTGAGTCCTCCCCAGACAGGGGCTGGCTGGGGGGCCCCTCCAACTGCTGGCTGGGGTACATTTCCCACTTCACTTCTCTTCGGAGCATCTGAAATTTAGGCCGTCCTTAGAGCAACTGGCAAAGAAAAGAACCAAAGGAATTATAATGTAGTATCAGGCTCACTAGCTAGATAGGGTAGCAATTCTTATGCTCTTTAAAAACAGCCACCTCCTAAGTGTAAAGGGTGATGTTTCTAACATATTTAAGTGAAGATCCATAGGTCTTAGACATCTCTGAAAGTTAGGGCTGCCAAGTACAAACGTGGGGACAATGAATGTCATTGCTTTAAGACTTTTAACATTGTTTGCGATATATGAAATTTAGCTGCTCTTAAACAAAAAAATGCACCGAAGTGGTTCATGACTATCGAGGGGCAACACTGTATTGAGATAGATTAAATATTTAAAATACATTTAGATGCTTTTGTTAGGGAGATAAAGTGTAAGAGTTTCTAAAAAATTATGGTTCTTTGACTAAAAATGTGATACTTCCCTCCGCTTACCGGAGAGTGTAAAACAGTGTCACAACCTGGACTCCACACTAGTTTGGCAGAAATTGCCGCGCCAGTTCCCAGACCTCAGAGGTCTTACGAAAATCTTGTGAAAAAACATCCGAAATACCGAAGTTCTAAAAATGATGAAAATCCAAGGGTCCACGATTGAAATCACAGACAGGAAACGCAGGGCCCGGAGGTCTTCCTTTTCTTCAGAGGTTCTGTTTTTCTCCTGGACATCTCTGAATGCTCCATAGTAAGCGCGATACTGTTTTGAAGAAAAACATTCCATTATGATACAGAAGGGCTGACGGTGGCCACACGTCAGCTTGCCCAAGTTCCCGCCAGAGCACTGCAGCTTGGCGGGGGACGCTCGGTTTTGTAAGTGTATAAGCAGCTAAAGCCACTGTGCTGATGGTGCCCTGGGGAGCTGGGAAGGGCGGAAGCCCTGGGAAGTGGGGTGAAGCTGAGGTGCCCATCAGGAACGCAGTCTGATTAGCCTCGAAGGCTACTGTACCTCCTGGGCTCCAGTCCTCAGGTCCCTGGGCCTCATACGCGCGGCCGTAGATACAGATTCTCTATCTACGGGTGTTCCTCCCATCTGCACCTCTGCCCGTCCTTCTGCTTACTTCCTATCCTCTCTCATCAGTTCACTCACAAATAAGCCACACTTGTGAAATGTCGCAATTGCAGAGGCACCAATGGAACAAGTTTTAATCAAAGCAGAGGTAAGAATTGCAACAATGAGAAGACACGAGGTAGCTGGACGGAGGGCCCTGTCAAGGCATGTGGACCACTCTCCTGCCTCTTAGCAGAGATTGGTTGTTACCTTTTCACAGTTGACATCCTTTTCTTCAGGCTAGTGGAGAAAACACACACACACAAAATAAGGCCACTTACCTGTGTCTAACCCACTGTGACTGCCTTGATGTTCCCCGGGGTCTCTGCAGCCTCCCCAGAGCCCTGATAACTGCCTCAAAGCCCAGCTTTTCCTGCTATTTGGCCAATACCACCGTCTAGACAAGACTCTCCATTGCCTCTCACCCTGCCTGAGGCCCATCAGCCCTGGGTTTTGCCGGTACATTCCACATGCCTACTGAACTCTAAATCTCTAATGGGACAAATGGGCTCTAATGGAACACAACAGCAGGTATTATGTTAGGAAGGGGTGTGGCTAAGAGACCAGATGCATTTAAGGCCATAGAGGAGGAACTCTGGAGAAGATGCGTCCCCACAGTCATTTCCTGACCCTCTGCCACCTTCTCCAGAGAGCATTTCAGCAGGTTCAGCTGCTCCAATTTATGTACTTTGGAAGATGCCTCACAGCAGACTCAGCTGTTACTTAGGTCCGCTGCCCTCTCCCGTTCCTGCAGTTTACTATTACTATTACTAGTATTACTACTCTTACTACCACTACCATGCTACTACTACTCATGGCTAAGGCCCTATAGGGCTTACTATCCCAGGCACTGTTCTAAGCATCCTACTTAAAAAATTCATTTTATCCTCTATGGTCATTATCCACATTTTACAGATGTGGAACCTGATTACGTGCCTTAATCTTACCTCTCTTAAGGGTCCACCCTGAATATCACCCCCCCAGGATGGGCCTGTGAGGCAGTGGCTACGCAAATCAGCTACAGGGTCTGCTGGGATCAGAGGCCTCTCTTTGAGTGAGGGACTTCAGGGATCAGAGGCCC